AAAAAAAAAAAAAAAAAAAACTTAAGAGGACTGCTAATCGTCATACAAGATAGCGTAGCCGGGTATTTAGTACCTATTGGTACACTAGATGTCGCGACGATTACCAAATAGCTATTTTGTAACGTTATTTTAAAATTTGAAGTAAAAGTGACGCTGTTCAAGGCCTTTTGTACATGTTTTTACACAAGCAGCCTGTGGGCGGACTACACGCAAAGGCAGTACAATGCTCTAAAAGTGCAGTTCAATAATGCATTCAGGGTGCTGTTGGCGCTGCCCCGGCGCTGCAGCGCTTCAGGGATGTTCGCAGACGCGAGGGTGGATTGCTTTAACGCTACTATGCGTAAGCGATGCACCTCCCTGGTGCGCCGGGTGCGGGCCAGCGGTAACAGCATCTTGAGCATGATAGCTGGCAGGCTTGATTGTTTGTATGTGTCCCACTGTTGTATGGTACATTTAAACAAAAAGTGTAATTATTATGTACCATAGATTGTTTGTTTGAATTTGATTATAATCTGATTACTATTATGTGGATATTGTGAATTTTTATTTTTAATGTTTTGCAACTAACATAGTTTTTTAAGAACAGTCATTGTTACTAACAAATTTGGACATTATTAATTTTGAATTTTATTATTATTATTTTTAAATTGTATTTTTGTTCTTTATGATTTCTACTAACTTAGCGCATAAGATATTGTTACTAACAAATATGGACTAAGTTGTCTGTTTGAATAAATGAATTTGAATTTGAATTTGAATTTTACATTGACACATTGATTCTATCAAATCTGCTTCTAGTGATAACAAACACGTCAACTAGATGGCGCTATATTTTACCTCAAAATGGATATGCACCTGGAGTCGTATATAAATACATTGTAAAAAAAAACAATCGCAACTCACAACGTTTCCATCCTCTAAATAATAACTAGAACACTACTTTGTCTATTCTAATGCCATTTAGACATATTGATAGTTTAGCTTAAAATTATTCATATTTCAATGTTACTGGGTGTAAGAAGCGAGAAAAAACAATGGCTACGGTGATTTTAGGCTGAGAACACCGAACGTGCGAAATAATATTTTTTAATTTTATTTGTAATTCCAAGAAGTATGATATCGCAGATATTGCATTGGTCCCAAAGGGTCATATCGGAACGCCACACAGTGGGCCCAAATTGATAATTCTTGGACATAGGAATAACTTGTAGAGTATCGAGCAAATTTTTTTTATGTGATATATAATAACATTCCTAACAACTTTTATTCTTGTATGATTTCTTGAAAAGTTGATAGATTCAGAGAAAAAAAAATTTTTGTATGGACAAATATACATTTTATTTTTTATCTCAAAATATACGAAAATCTAATGTGCGTGGGTTACTTACAGTATAGTTCCCATCATTTTCTATGTAGAAAAAAATAATCCGTCTGCATGTACTTGCGGCTTTGTAAATAAAGGTGCGGCAAAATTGCTAACTCTTTTATGTACTTTTTTAACAAACAAAGTTTAAGACAAATATATATTTTATTTTTTATCTCAAAATATACGAAAATCTAATGTGCGTGGGTTACTCACAGTATAGTTCCCATCATTTTCTATGTAGAAAAAAATAATCCGTCTGCATGTACTTGCGGCTTTGTAAATAAAGGTGCGGCAAAATTGCTAACTCTTTTATGTACTTTTTTAACAAAATACATGAGCTTCGTGTAATCTGTGTGTAATATGTCATCCATTACAAACAGTGCATAAAGTCCAACAACCCAGTATAAATTAATCTGAAGGTAATTAAAAATAACGGAAATAAAAAGTATAAATTTTAGGCTAAATAATTATTTAATCATGATACAATTTTAGGAATACAGAGCTGATTTTTTTCACATGATACATAATAACATTCCTGATAACTTTTATTGTTATGTAATTTCTTGGAAAGCTGATTGTTTCAGAAAAAAAATTTTAGTTTTTTTTTTTGTTTGGAGAAGTAAATATTTTATTTTTTTATCTCGAATTGTAGAAAAATGTAATGTGTGCTTTATTTACAGTATAAGTCCAATCATTCTCTATCAAGAAAAAACAATCCATCAGCAGGTACTTGCGGCTTTACGAGTAAAAAGATGTCAAAATGTTAGATTTGTTATTTATTAAAAAATAAAACACAATATACTAGTTTCTACTTAACTTTCGTGTTATTGTTATAACGCTCTGTGTAATTTAGCACTAAAATTAAATTTTCTTTAGTCGAAGCTCATGTATTTTGTTAAAAAAGTACATAAAAGAGTTAGCAATTTTGCCGCACCTCTACTTACAAAGCCGCAAGTACATGCAGACGGATTATTTTTTTCTACATAGAAAATGATTGGAACTATACTGTAAGTAACCCACGCACACTACATTTTCGTATATTTTGAGATAAAGAACAAAATGTATATTTCTCCACAAAAAAAAATTATATTTTTTTTCTCTGAAACTATCAACTTTTCAAGAAATCATACAAGAATAAAAGTTGTTAGGAGTGTTATTGTCCATCACATAAAAAAATTAGCTCGATACTCCACAAGTTATTCCTATGTCCAAGAATTATCAATTTGGGCCCACTGTGCGCCACCGCAAACGGATGACAATTTAGACTTCCTTTAGGTTATACTATATTGCTCAGATTTTTATAGATACTTCCAAGTATTCTTTTATTTTGTTTAGGATTTGCGCCATCTAACTATATTCGCAAGCGTTACGTTATTAATTAGTTAACAACGAACAATGCCATCTATTGATACGCATAAATATCGAAGTTCAGAGAATAATTTTAGTTTATTACTAAATATTTGAAAAACATTACAAGAAAAATAGAATATCTACTATATTTCCTATAAAAGAGGAGTTAATCGATATCCATGGCTATTTACGTAAATATAAACTAATTCCAGGCTATCGATCAGCGCCATCTAGAAATAAGACGGAATTTTGACCTTTTTCAGAGCTACGATTTTTAATATGGAGATTAGCAGTCCTCTTGGGTTATTGGTCCATGATGCTAGGTAATAGCAACGACATTGATGTCATAGTTTGTTTATAATTTTTGTTTTTTTTAAGTGTTAAAATGCCCCGAATGTGGGCAAGTGAATGAAGATATTTTATTAATGGAGTGTTCTCAACAAACATGTAAAAAGACTTACCATCTGAATTGTATTGGTATGACAAAGGAAACATTTGAGAACCTCACGCGGGAATTGAAATGTAATTGGGTATGTCCTGAGTGCAAGCGCACTATTCCAAAGCGGGATAACTCCAATAGACCGGTAAGTGGCAGCGGGTAATGGATAAAACGTTCACACAAGCACAAGCTGTGATTCTTTAAAACGAGGGTATTATGACTAATTCGTATGGCTCATATTTATTTTTGCTGTTGGATGTAAATTAGTACATGAATTTATTTAGGTAACGAAATGTAAGAACATATATGGAAGGCACTGATTTGCACCCAGTAGTTTATGATTTAGAATGTACTGATGAATGACTCACCCAGATGAATGATGAGAAAGCAGCAGAATGAGGTATTGCTGACATATTAATTAGAATCATGCAGACAAATGAGAACTTTACGTTAATTTCAAACTTACTTTATTTATAAATTCGGTTTATTTTCTGGTACTCAGTTCAGTTTTAATTATTTATACAACAATGAATGAAAAAATACAACAAATCACCCTTTTTAATAATCAAATAATACTAATTATATTATACATCTATAGAACTTTTGTCTCTTGATTGAAATAATACGTAAATAAAAAACAAAAAATCAATGTAACTAAATTTTGCAACATTTCTTATAAACAAATCAAATAAAAACATAACAATAAGAATATGAGCATCATCTTCTATCAAGTTTAATTTCCTATAGGAACTTTAATCATGAGATCGCAAAACCTATTATTTATGTATTAAAATACATACATTAAAATCGTCATCACTATCAATGTCCGTTAGGTATGGATTAATATTTTGTAAATCAACACATAGTGTTTTATCTGTTGACATTGTTATGTCAGATATATTATCAAAGTCAGCAAATTCCATTGACTTACAAATAAATGGACGACGGGTCTAATACAAAAACCACGAAAAAAATGTCCCAAGTCAACCTATTTAAACGTAGTGACATGTAAAGGAATATGAGAAAGCTAAAACGTTGAATTAAATTGTAATGTCATTGCAGTACTGTCTAATTTTGCTTGCTTCGATGTCAGTCGAACAAACGAAGACTAGAGCATGAATGACGCTCTGTATACGATTTTAACGCCCTATAAGTTCGGACACTTTGTCAATGGCAAATTCTGAAAAAAAAAATATATTAAAATAAAATTTTACAATTTTTTCCTTTGCATTTGCTTTTTTTTGCAATACTATTATTGACTCCTAATAATTTACGTACAGGTTCTCTTGTCCTCCTTTCTTTATTTATTATCTCGTTATTTTTTCGGTTAGTCTTACCAGTATCTCTCTCTCTCAGTATCCTTGTCGAATGTGGTGTGACTGATAAAGTTTCCTGGCATTCATTTTCCAAGTGATAAAAACCAAGGTGTTTCGTGTGATTGCATTGGACAGCTTTATATAAACAATATTTATCAGTACAACTCAGTTGTCGCACAGCAATCACAGAAGAATTCAAATTCCAGACTATCTGGTGCATTTTCACGCACCCTGGAAAACTTTTCACGTTTTGAGGAAAAAGCAAATCTTTTTCACCAAGATTTGCTTCTCGCTTTACTTTTCGTTTCATATTCAGAAACGATTCTCAATTTTACTTTTTTAAATTTTCGTTCATTATATATAAAAAATCATCGATGTCTTTTATGTCTTGTC